AATGCCAAGTTTCTAGACTTTGAAGTCTGTTTGACTCAACAACATTACAACTTAATTGAAAAGAACTGAAATTAGAAGTTTGAGGAGAGCAAGGACTTTGCTTGAAAGGTGGAGGCTTCTTGAACTTCTGAAGGTGAAATTTGTATAGACCATTCTCAAGACTCCCTTCCAGAAGTACTTCCTTTGATTTGAGATCCTTCACAAGACAATAATGAGGATAGAATTCAAAGAACACTTCATTATCCCTTGAAAATTGAGCAACACTTATAAGGTTTTTGTTTAAGGTGGGAACATGTAGCAGGTTATTAAGATGGAGGGTATGCTTAGAGTCATTAGAGGGACATTTAATCAAAGCCTTACCATAATGAGCAATTGCCATACCTGAACCATTTGCAACTTGAATTCTCTCTCCACCATGGTAGTCTGATGCTAAGCTGAGGTTGCCAAGGTCATAAGTGAGGTGATTAGTGGAGCCTGAATCAGGATACCAACTTGTGTCTTGTGTTCCTTCTGAGGCATTATCATTGTGGACACTGTAGTTGGCAGAGAATGAGCCACTTCCTCCATAATTTAAGTTCTGGAAGTTGCCATTTCCATTGCTTTGAGTTTTTGGAACAAATTCAGAGTCAAACCTATAGTAACATTTCTCAGCTGTATGGTTATTATAACCACAAATTTGGCACCTAGGTCTGTTACCAAAGGATCTTCCACCTTTTCCTCTGAAGTTGTTGCCTCTACCTTGACCTCTGCCTCTATTGGTTTGAAAGGGGGTGTTGTTTCTTCCTCCACGGTTGGACATGAAGCCTCTGCCCCTATTTCCACCTTGGGTCACCATGTTGGCAGCTAGTTGTGAGCCTTCTCCAAACCCACTCACTTTCTCAAAGGACTCAATCCTTGCTTCAAAGCTTTGAACCACAGAATAGGCTTCAACCAGAGAGCATTTGTCAGCTCCAGAGGTGATGGACACCACCACAGGGTTATATTCAACCCCAAGTCCAGCTAAAAGATGAAGGACTTGATCACTTTCTGAAATGTGATGCCCAGCCATGGATAGCATATCACAGATCCCTTTCATTTTGTTAAAGTACTCCCTGACCTTCATGTTCCCTTTCTTGAGGGTTTGCAACTCCATTCTCAGTTGCATTTGCTTAGCTTGGCTTTGGCTAGCAAAACTGGTCTTTAAACAGTTCCAGATCTCAAATGATGTGCTTAGACCAACAGTAGTGATAAGGGTATTTTCTGACAAGGATGAAAGGAGCCAAGAGGCTATGAGTTGATCTTGTCTTACCCAATGAAGAAAACTGGGGTTGATGGTCAGGCTGATTTCTCCTGCTCCATTTGTTTCTCTATTGAATTTTTCTGGAGAAGGGATGTCACCGTTTAGGTATCCTTCAAGGCCATATCCTCTAATGGCTGTGGTGATTTGTTGCTCCCATATGAGGTAGTTTCCCTCATTTAATTTCACAGAGATAAGCTGACTTTGCAGCTGTATGATGGGATCTCCAGTGATTGATGTGGAAATGGCAGCTGCCATGATTCAAGGTGCAGCAAACGAAATAAATGCTAAAAGAAGACTAAAAAGGAAAAGAAAGAGACAAGACTAGAAGCATGGTGATCGAATGGCTCTGATGCCATAAAAGCATCATTTAATATGATAGAAAATAGTAAACAAGAACTGTGGAAGCATAAAGAGAGCTGCCATCAATTTCAAAAATATCAGATCCATTATGTTTGCTGCTACATCTCCTTTTTCCTTATATATATCCTATTCCTCACGTGCTAAACATCATACACTTTCTCTCCAACCCTAATTTTGCTACAAGACAAAGAACATCTCTCCTGCATGTGGCTCACACCTTGCATGCCATCATGCAACGTTCCATTTTCCATTTTAGCTTCATTTTCCACTTCAGCTTTACCTTTGGTGGCTTTGTTGACTTTCTTGACCATGTTAGTCTTAATAATGTGTACCATCAAGTTTTTAAAAACTTAGAAAATCTGTATCACCTTCAAATTTAAAAAAAAAAAAAATTGAGACATCATGTATTTATAATTTATAAAGAAAAAAAAAA